AACAGTGTCGATAGATGGGGGGATTTGGGGAGTTTACTCTAGTATAGGGTAGCAAAATTCAGCTGAACTAGCTCTGGTATAGGCTAAGGGTTCCAGGGCTCCAGCGGCACATCCCCACCCAGAAATTCCCAAAGTACCCCTCCCCCGGGGGTCAAACTGAGTCTATTTTTAATTTTTTTCCAGTTTCCACACCAAAATCGCATTATCTTTATTTAGTTTCTGAGCAGGAATTAGGGCCGTGGCGTTGATCACGTAAACAGGAACAACAAGTTACCAACAGCACAATTTGTATTCCTGTTGTACTTAAACGGAACACATTTGAAGTGCAATGAGCTGATGAGCCATGATAATCACAAGATTTCTGTAGCGTGTAGCGTGTATCGTGACACTTTGTGTGGCTTTATCGCTTCAATACCGCGCGCGCGAGCCTAGCTCACGGGTAAACCGCTCGCGGTCTTCATTCAAATCCCACCCACTGCGAAAACACAGCTACCTCAAAATCAAACACTCCTGCACAGCTTCCCTTTCGAATGTTACGCAGCCAACCGACGTATTGACAAATTTCGTGCACGGGCGCGTTAACATAGAATTTAAAGAGTTATCGATGTAAATTGTAATTGATAATTTAAATTATAAACATTTCCGCTTAGCACGTGTAGCCATCCGAAGAACTTCCTGTCCTCGCAGTTGGTGATTTCAAGAGGGTTTCCGCGCGCTACAGGCAATTCGTCTGTCTGTTCCTTCAAATTTGGTCCTGTTTTCATGTGTAAAATCATGCCTTTCTATTTTCCTCTCGAATTTAAAGTAGATAAATTGTTTTTAACGCCAGAAATTGTGGATAAACGATTTTCAAAAAAAACGGAGCTAGTTGAAATTTTCTGTTATTGAAATGTTCGGCAGTCAGCGCGCGCTTGAAATGCGAATTCTCATTACGTTAAGGAGTACATTTGTGTTACTGTTGGTTGGAAGACTTTATCGCTACATCAAGATCGCTGGCAACTTAACTTTCTTGGTTATGGTCAGCTGTAGTTAGCGTGCAGCTAAACGAAATTGATTACGTCTTGAACTTGAAGGGTTAAAACAGTTGAGGCGTGTATTAGTCCCAATGCCTCACATCAGTTCGGGAGGCCAAAACAAGTGAAATCGTGACGGTGAATATTCTACTGAGTATTAGTGCTGCAGTCATGGTCTACAGAGCTATATAGTGCTATTCACTGCAAAGAAATCTCGCTGAATTTGTATTGTTAAACTGCATAATGGACTTGAACAATGTATGAATATGTTCCGGAAAAAAAAATAGGTTTGATCCAGTTTGGAAATGAAGTTCTTCCAAAAGCGAACCTAGTGCGCACTCGATGCATTTATGAACAGCGTCTTGAAGCGTTAAGCAGACTGAATGACGGAGTTTATTACGTCAAAGCGTGGAAAATAGACGTCTTAATATTTTCACAGTCGGGCAATACTGACCGCTGGCTGACGAAAATCACGAATCAGACAGAAACTTAAAGGTCCTTAAGCAGATTCGCAGATTGGATAACACTTGTTTTCTATACGACACGGCTTCAGCGAGCGAAGATTTGTCATGCACAAACAAATGCAAAGCTTGTGGCGACTTGTAGGAATATGTTACGTTTATACAGCTGTGTAAGGGCAATTGCTGTTTTTTTTTTCTTTTCTTTTCTTTTCTTTTTTTACATCTCTCGAAGAACTGTTTACACGTAATATTGCGACTTCATGCTCTAATTTTAGAAAGAGGAAACACTTATGAGATGGACTGAGAGCTGCTGCGAAAATCACGATGATCCAGCTTGTTAACTTTCAGACTCACTCGTGGGGTCACTCGTGTTATCAATTGTTCAGAATATTCGCATGCTGTTTGTCGGATAAGTTCAGTTATTTGAAGAAAAAGTCGCGTTTGGTTTCTCAGTTGTCTGGTTGGCGCGCGGGGGGATTTATTGAGACTAGAACAAATCTTTGTCTGATAGCAGTAGAGTATCACATAATACTGTCAGGCAATCTCTGCTTGGCTCTTCCTATAATCCCCAGTGAATGATTTTTCCCCGAATGGTTTCTATATTTATACATGAAGAGCTAAAAATAAAAGTACGCCTCACGCCAAAAGTCGTATTACACTTCTCTCTTATAGCTCAGGACAGGGCCAGGCTTTTTTTTGCTGTGTTCTAAGCTGCGGTGCCAATCGACATCTTCAGCGATCTAATTCAAGGTTTTGCGAACTACTTGCGTTTTATATCCCACTTAGAAACATCATGAAAGCCTAGCGTAAGGTGACCTGGAGGTCGCTTCGCCCACTGTTTATTCCTCACGCATGGAGAATCGCCTGAGGTGTTAAACCGGCCATCTGGTATTTTCTTAGCATGTCTGAGGTTGTCTGAGTCACCGTTTGTCTCGTTGTCACAGTTTAAAAGAAAACGGAAAGCTTTAAGTGACAGTTAACCGCTAGTTTAACACCGCGTAGTTAGCCCTCACCCATTACATGTAACACTCTTGAATAGATTGGAAAATAAGGCTGCGCGCGGCGTCCACATTACGCCGGAGAAATTTGAAAACGGCTTCATTTCTCATGGTTAGGCCTACCGTCCATACTAACCCGTCGCGAAAACGCAGCTTTGCGAAAACGCTCCTCAAACCAGAGGAATTTGAAAACGCCAGCTTTTCGTTTTCGTGTGGACGGAGAACATTTTCAAAACGGAGCTTTACGAAAACTACTCCGTCACGAAAACCATGCGATTTCCCTGACCGGGTTTTCCTCAAACACGAAATCCAAAATAACCGGTGATTGTTGCGTTTTTAAATTCTTCTGGTGTAGTATGGACGGAAGACATTTGATGCATTTTCAGAGTGAAACTCTCGTTTTCAAATTCTTCCGGCCTAGTGTGGACTGGGCCTTAGAGTATATGTACGGCGTACTTCTTGTTCAGAAACATTAAACACGAAAATATTGCCGGGTTTGAATTCCGGACCTCTTAGCTTGTAGTTGCGTCCTTGTAAAGTAAAACTGTCAGGGCAAAGTACTCAGCGCCTTTGATTTTCATCTACTTTTTTTTTCACTGGCAGGCCGGCAGACAAGGCAGGGAAAAGTTTGGCTCAAAGAAAGCGACCAAGAAAAGGCTGAACCAGTTTGCTAGTACATCAAACAAGGTGAGATACTTTCTTGTGCTGAATTGTTGCACATACAAATGTAGGTGGAAACCTTTAACCTCGCTGTTTTTAACAGATTAACACATTTTTTTTCGTCCTTTTTAGGAGAAAAGACGAAACAAGAATTTCATGATGATGCGGCACAACAGAGATGTCAGAGGCAAAACAAAACGTTCATTCCGAGATAAGCAGGTAGCATGTCTTGCATGCGCTTGTACTACACTAGAAGAACAAGCTTAGCATGTAAATACATGCATGGCCGTAGCCAAAAAAAAAAAATGTGACTGAGGCAAAGTCCATGGTTAAATCGTCTTGTTAGGTATTTAGCAGTGTTTTACTCTCCCCCTCCAAAAAACAAAAAAAAACAAAAAACGAAAAAGATGACCGACTGAGGCAAGTGCCTCGTTTTTGCCTCATTCTGGCTACCGTCTGATGTACGCGAATAAAATATACACGGTGTATTTTGTACGTGAGTTGCAAGCATGTGTTGACAGTCGCTTGTAAATAAAGCAAACTGTTATGACATAAGTCACGTCATATTTCCCCGATATCAACACAATGATTAAAAAACCCACTCGTATAGATGTGCACTCTTTTAAGATCGATGCGAGATTACTTTTAGATGGAAGATCCCACATGTCAAGAGACAGCAAATAAGACAGCGAAAAAATGATAATACGGCAACGAAAAATGTTAATAAACACGTTTGAAAATTGCTCTCAAACGCCATCGCCTAAAGCTTCATCTTTCTCCTTTTTAGAAAATTTTAAGATAACTAGGAAGTTTATATGTGATCTGATTTTTATTGTTTATTTATTATTATTATTATAATTTTTTTTCTTTTTTTTTTTTTTCTTTTTGTTTATTTTGCAGATGTCACTGAAGCACGCACTCCTCAAAAATAAGAAAACGAAACACTGACAAATGAACGTACATTTGACTTGGAAATGTACCCAAGGTTTGCGCAATGGTGGGCGTTGAAAGTCGTGACTTTTGTCAAGGAGGATGAGACAGCCCGAGGAAATCAGGCGTGCCTGAGATTTCAATCTACGGAAGGCTTCGAAAACTGAGGGCACGGGTGTAGCTTACTGTGCCTATGGGAAGAATTCGGTACATGACTGAAATTATTTTTCTGCCAGCCCTAGAGGAGTTTCTTAAAAGGATTGAAACTGATAAATCTAGGGAAGGATTGTGGAGCATTTAGCGCGGAGTAATCGCTTCTTGAGTGCTTTTTTTTCTTTTTTAGCTGGCGAACTTTGCACGCAAATAAGATTAAACTGCCTGTAGAATTGCTTCTTGAGTGGTTCTGCTTTTTTTAGCAGGCGAACGTAGCACGCAAATAAGATTGAACTGCCTGTAAAATCATGGCAATTTGCATGTACAAAAATACATTGACAGAAATACACGTGTTTTGAATAAAAACATGATTACTTCAATTCACCAGTCGTTTTGTTTTGATTACATGTTGTAAGACGAAAACGTGCTGCCTCGATTAGACAGCTGGTTTCAAGGCAAAGTTCAGTTGTATAGTTGCAAGACAGTGGAAGACGTGACTAGCAAAGAATAAAAAAAAATACTTTTTAAGTGTCAGCCATTTGACTTTCCTACCCTCTTGACAAAAGCTGTAACTATTTACTCTGCACGTGTGATCTGCAGTTGATTTTTGTGATCGCATATAAAGAGAACCTACAACACGGTGATTGTTATCAGTCCGTAATGTACATTGCAAGATCACATTTGATCTAGATTTGTTAGCTCTGTTTTTGCCAAAACAAAATTCTGCCACGCTTACATAGCATTTTGTATTGTATGATTAAATTCAAGTTGTACATGTTTAATATTTAATTCTGCTATTTATAACCTTTTTCCCAAATTAATTTTGCTGTACTAAAACCAAAATACAGATATTTTTAAAAAAGTGCATTGTTTTGATTTCTTGAAGTATTTCTAAATAAAACCGGGATTTGCTTGACATAAGTGAACACCATTGTTTTGTTTTTAATACCGTGAAATGGCGGCCATCCCCGCAGGTGGATATTAGTTGACTTACAGACGCCAGTTCCCCTCACGCAATTTCGCGTGCAAAGCGCAAAATTAATTCTTATGCATTTTCACATAGTTTATAAAAGAGCGCTCAAATGTATCCTACATTTCACTTCAACATTAACTGGTTTTAAAAGAAAGACAGAAGTAAAAAGGTTCCGCCGAGATTTGAACTCGGATTTTGGGATTCAGAGTCCCAAGTGCTAACCGTTACACCACGGAACCAACCCGTGACCTCGAGAGGCAAAATTATCCGTTTTAAAGCTCTCGCATATTTTCGACATTTGTCGGAATATCTTCGTGACCCGATCCGTAGGCGTGTCGTCATCGGCACGCAAACCTCGTAAAGCCAACTTCCTAATTTGGAACGGTTGCGATATCGCGAAGGAGGTGTCAACCAAATAAGGAAAGCCGATAACAATGGAGCTTGATGTTTCTATGACGACAGCCTCCTGGGCATAAAATACGGAGCAATGACTTCATTTCCTATTATAAAACAATACTCGTTGAAACAGCTTACGAGTCGAGGGGAAAACAGTACATGAAATGTGTTGTATGGAAAGTTCTTGATAAGCGGCGACTGGTTTTCACGCCTCAACTGAGTTTCCTTCAGTGACTGGCACTATCTTTTGGCAGAGCAAGACCCGCTCTTTCGATCAGGCGGTTTCGCGTCACTTGCACGTAACCCCTGCAATTCGTTGCCCTGATTTTCGAATTTTGTTAATAGAATCGTGCCGACACGATGAGCGATCCAGTGGCCATTCGGTAAGCTTGAGCAGTGAATAGATAGCAATTTATCTGTGGCATTTGTCACTATTTTTATTGCTTCGTCGTGTGGTTTGGCTCTATTGGCTGAGTTCCATGTTTGTTCCTTTCCTTGCTAGAGTTCTCGTTGATGATGGAACGCCACGAATACCGTTTCCTCTGCGGATTCATCTTTCGTTAACAGTCTTTAGACTGAAGCAAATGATCGAGGCACAAGAGGGCTTTACAGTTGGAGAGCAAGAAGTTTTCTTTCAAGGAAATCCGGTAAGTAGCTTTTATTCTAGTGTATTCTAGAATCCGCATGCCGGAATGGAATTTTTGCATGTCCGCGCGAGACAATACAGAAGCAACACGCGTGCTTATGGAGTCACGCTGCAGACACGCTGAAGCGCTTTCTTAAGCTTTTACTTGTATTTCCTCGTTTGACTTTCGCTTCATTTGTTGCTTGAATGTTGTTATCACTAAGCTGTAAAATGAAAATGTGTGCAAGGCAAAGCGTTGATTTCATTAGATTGTGTTCTTTGTCGTTTTCAATGCATCCTCACATGACGCGAGTATTAAAGGATCGAAACTGTTAACAGAAACGTGCTTTTTGGTTAGAAGTAAACGATCTTGCAAAGCTGGGATAGAAAGTTATGCTTTGAAAAAATAGTGAGACGATTATTGCGCACGAAGATTTGGCGATATTAATTATTCTGGGCTTATATTTGTAACGTGACGCTGTGACTATCACGGGTTTAATGGGTATTCAGTATATTGTGTGATGGTTGACAGATCACCTCCCAGGGCCGGGCCTTGACTTTTTGCTCGTTTGATGGCCAATATCCGCGATTTTTTTTTTCCCGTAGCTTCAAGACAATCTTACGTTGGGGCAGCAAGGAGTTCTTGAAGATGTTCAGGTGGATATTCGAGTGAATTTTCAAGGTTAGTAGATCAAAGTGGAAGACATTTGCATCATGTACGGGCTTATCGTTCGCGCGGCGTTCCTCGTTTGTTAGCTTTCATAACGTGATTTTACATGTGATGAATAGTAATAATTTGTGTCATAGATTAGTAAACACCACGCAGACGAGAGACTCTTCCTTTCCGCTCTTGTTTCTAGTGAAAGTAATTTAAAAGCATTGTCTTCTTGGAGAATGTTCTGTAATTAAATCTTTTCACAGTTAATGTAATTTGCGTAGGTTCAGCAATCACACCATTTGAATTTATGTCATAGTTCTTTCAAAGAACTTTTTGTTGTCGCCTGCAGAAAATTTTATTCTGGACGCCCACAAAAATGTGTGTTATTTGCGGTTTCAAGCGATTTTCTTTAGTTTGAGACACAATACTTGCTTGAATTGGCATTTTTCAACTTGGCAACACTGAAGAAACTACTGCATGAATAAGCGTAATTCTTTTTTAGGTAAATTAGAACTTTCTATGGTCAACCATCAAGAAATCACGTATTTTCGATGGATACAGGCTTTTCGATGTTTTCTTTGTGTGTGTAACTGAATAAATATCTTTTATCTTTGCACTGGAAAGGACAAAAGATTCATTTTTTTATTCATCTCTCATCTCATCTCTCATTTATTCATCTCGTAGTGATAAACTTAGATTTCTGATCTATCTTGAATACATGTATCTTTTATCATAATATGATAACTTCTCATACTGACTTGTCGAATTTGAATGCAGATGTTACTTCACATCAGTAATAGCTTTGTGTGGGCAGTAAAATAATCTTACGTGGAAATTTTCCATTTTTAATTGCTTTTTGTCCTAAATCCAATGATGATTGAAGGGCCAAAATTTTTATCCAAAAAGATAGTTTGACTCACTGGTCCTTTTTATTAAAATCAGATGTATTTAAAATACTTTGGTAAAATTCAAGTTGGAATTGAAGAACTATCATTTTCATTCTTCATCCAAATTAGACCTGAGGGCTCTTTTGTGGTTTTTATATTTTTTTCCCCTAACCTGGTGATAGGCAACGGATTGCATTTTGTGCCAGAACTCAAAAAGAAAAATATCGAAATTTTCATGGTGACAAATCTGCAGGTTATTTACAGCATTTGAAAACAGTTTCTGGGTAAATTACAGCTCTTATGCTCGTATGGATGTTTTTTTTTTTTCATTTTCCTCGGGAAAATTATTTTAATTTTTTATTGTTGTGTAGGGGGAGAACAAAATTCCTTTGATACATCCGTCATCTATTAATAAACAATGCCACTGACGCAAAGAACAACTGATGTGAACAGTCTTGAGATTCATTTTCCATGAGCCTATATGGTGATCTCACTGTCAGGAGCAACATGCATGTCGTTTTAGTTCCAGATGGCTAGCTAAAGTGTGCTTTATGTGCAAATTCGAATCAAGCTCTTAGATTTTAATTTTACAGCATCTAACTTGCCTTGGGGGACAGTGACAAGATAGATTATCATTTCACATTTGTGAATTGCTGTTTATTATCAGTAGGGTGCTTTAAGATATCCAAGATTTCATTCACAATGTTTTTAAATAGCAGTGCCACAATTTTTCTGGCAGCTCTTTCCAGTACAGGGAGCCAAAGAAAAATAACTTTTTGAATGCAGGTGTATGTACGTTTAATTAACTGAAACATAAAGGCATGTTAGAGAGTTGGGACAGAAGTGATTCGTGTTATGGTTGAAGAAAGCAGAGCTCATTTACAAATTCATGTCAGTTCTTAACTTTGGTTTCCTTGTGTAAAGCTAAAATTAGAACTTATGACGCAAATCTTGTGCTATTGTCGTGATCATTATCTCGGCATGCTTACATGTAATTAACTTTCTGAAAATAGAGTCTAAGAGTGACAAGAAAGGTAATACTAATATAATCATTTTGCAGCCTTTAAGGAAATGGTTCCTTTTCAAATGTTGGCAATTTCTCTCTCTCTCTCTCTGTGTCTCTCTCTCTCTCGCTCTCTCTCTCTCTCTGTGAGATAGCTCCTAAATATTTGTAAGCTCTTAGCAGTATTGACTAAGCAGCATGTGTACTAGTCGTTGATCAATGTCATCACCCAGCACAAGCGAGTGGGGCTGAGCATCAGTATTGTTACCAAGAATTACGTCATTTCATGAATCAGCTAGTTTGAGTAAATAAAGGTAGTTCAGCACCACACATGGATCAGTTGTGGAAGTGATCAAAAAACATCATGCCTGTTTCCCATCATTATAATCTACCCCTGGCACAGTTGTATAATGTTTAATAGACACCTACATACATGTACAGCTTGGCCGAACATTGCAGTCTGTGATGATAATATTGTTCCCACACAGTCCACAAAGTCAACATTGTGATCATAGGAACGTGAAATTGATATATTGTGAATAGGGATTCTTAATTACGTTGTAGTCTAGAATCTTTGCCCTTACATTAATGAGAATATTTGCCCAACTAAAAGTTACGGCAGAAGTGCACTTGGAGCCGGCACTTTTATGTTTGTCATGCAAACTCCAGAAAATAGTTTTGGCTAGTGGTGACAATCATGACAGCAAATCTAAGGACTAAATCTAGATTTTCCTTACTAGAAAATTTGTACGCCGCTTGAGAACAAGGAAAATGCAATGTGAGGCACTGCCTGTATGATTTATCCTCTGTAAACACTGTATGTGTTTCTGGCTGCACTTTTAAATCCTGATTTGTCTGTCTCTTTCAGACATACCTTCACCAACAAGAAAGAAGGGAAGCACCTCAACATCTGAAGACTGCGTTGTGCCTGATATTGATGATGAAGATAACGTGTTTAACTTTGAGCAGCCCAGAGTTCCTGCAGGTAAGAGGCATTACAAAATATCAAGGTCTGTTAATGGCAAAAAGAAAGCAACTTTTGTCGAAGGTGGAGTGAAAATATCTCATTTTGTAAGCCGTGCACGATTATTATTATTATTTTTTTTTGGCTAGTGCAGAAGTTAGAGAGAAATTGTTAATCTACAAGACTTGTACAATTCGCTTTGTTATGCAGTATCTGAGTTCTAAAATTGTGTGCTGTGGCATCTTTATGGTTTGCTTCCTTGCATGAAATGATGACGTCATCTTTGCTTAAAAACAAAGTACTTTCCATTCATTAACTAATGTTGCTTCACTTGTATTTCAAGTATGTGCATTAGTTGAAAAAGCAACCAGTATTGTTAAAATTTCAATTGTGTGCAACTTGCAGAACATCAAAAATTTATTCCAGAAACAAAGAATATACCTGTCGAAATCACAAAAACAGGATCCTGCAAAACAAAAATCACCAACTTGCAAACTTAAAACTCCTGTGCCACATGGTACACCTTGACCATCCGTTATCAGAATATTATTTATAGAAGCTGACTTGGTGCATGGTAGTGCATGTGAGCTGGAGATAATAATTTGAACCACCAGGTTAGACTATGCGTAGTCCCTAAACCGTGAGAAAAATGGCCCTGCTAGGATTTCATGCAGCCATTTTTTTCTCACAGTTTTCTTTGATGGCAAGTTAAAACAAATCACCTACATTTTGCCAATAATGTTATGCTATCTTCTTGTGTCTGACTGCGTCATAATATGAAGTCAGCACAGGAATTAGATCAGAGCTTAAAAATTTTTCTTCTTTAGATCCCAGAGTGTGGAATAAATGGGAGGTGATGGAGTGGCTCAAATGGGCAACCGAACGCTACAGCATACATGGAGTCACAGCCGACAAGTTCTTGATGAATGGGAAAGGCTTATGCATGCTTAACGTAGACGGCTTCCTCTACCGTGTTCCACGAGGTGGAGACGTTCTTCACAGTGATTTCAATAAACGTGTGACTGCAGCAGTGGAACAGTCACGGCATTTGCAGAGCTATTTGAATCCTGGGACGTCGAACTTTTACTATGTCTACTAAGAAGAGAGATAATTTATTTGACAAAGTACAGACTATTGAAAAGAGTATGATATAATGCGGGCAACCGAGGCTGCTTGCATGAAATGTACATTATTTAAAACAAATTGCTATCTGTATATATTGAAATGCACCTAGCCGGGTTTTTGCTTACCAGTTTTTGCCAATGTCTTATAGTGTAGTTATGGTTAGTGAAAGCCAGAGGCAACAGAAATTACTCAGTCAGTTAGATTGGATTTGAGGGGGGCAAATTCAGGAAATGGGGTTGGATAATTTATTTAATACAAGGATCTTGAAGTCAAGCTGAAGGTTATCTTTTGTAAGGGTGCCAGGTGCTTTTGTTCGAATCCCCCATGATACTTTACATTAAGACTTTTCTTGTGGACACGACAAGCTGTAATCAGCAGTCATTACAGATCAATACTGTCTCTCCTAACATACCATTCTCCAGTTACACTGTAGTTAACTTATACCTAGAAAAGTAAAATCTCTTTCAAAAATTTCTGGTGCAGAACATTGATTACATTCTGTTAATATTGAAAGCTGTCTCCCAACGTCTCTGCCTCTCAACTTGACCTAAACGTTCTTTCATCCTTTTTTCTTGCAATGTTATTCTCAAGCATTTATAGATAACCCAGCCAGATATTTATACTGGTTAGCCCTTTTTTTACTTCCAAACAAGGTGTTCGCTAACAAAAATTAACATTATTCAGCCTTGGAAACATTTGGAGGAATTGATGACGAAGTGTTCTGCTGTAAATTTATAAGCTTAAAGTATCATTAATTAAATTTAATTGTTATGAATAGAGAGGAAAAAACATAAGTAAACAACATAAATTATATGTGGGATTAAAAAGAAAATTTTAAGTGAATTTTAAAGATTTATCACACAAAAGTTGCACTTTTCCTTGCACAGGCATGTTCATAGTAGCTTTCTTTTATTTCTTTTAGTTCTTTAAAAGAGATTAGCTTGGAGTGATAGTTGTCAAACAACAATCATCTTAATAGCATGGTAATCATTGCATGAAAATTGTACTTCAATAAAAGAATAACGAAATATTGGTCTTTGATGATATCTTAGCAGGGTTCCCCTTCTTGAGTTCTCCTGGGAGAGGCAGCCTCTCCTACTGGCTCTCTCTCTCTCTCCACAAATGCCTTATTTAAACAAAAACTGTTCGCATAAATTATCATAATTCTGTGATAGTTATGTCACTGGTGAGTGGAGTACTCCTTGTACTAAACTGAAGACAAACAAGTTAACTTGAAAGCCAACTATTCATGCCTTGGGGGTGGACCATTTGACTTTTGAAGGGGAGTGGGGGTGGCTGATTTGGAAAGAAAATATCCTGCAAACATACTTGTACCAAAACAAAATTTCTGCGCACGACCGTGACTGCAAAAAAAAAAAAAATTCACATACATTCAATGAGCCAAAACAAGCATGTTACACAGCGAAAAAAATATGATGCATAGACTTGTCTTGAGGAAAAAAAATTCCTAGTTCATGGAAAATCCGTGCCTGCACCAGACTGCACCCCTCCTCCTCCCCGTTCAGATAAGATAAAATCCCCCCTTTACATTGGTGTTCATCCCCACTTCCTCGCCCCCCCACCACGATCGGTTGCGATTGTGGAAAAACGCATGTGATGTCAAAACTGTCGAGCGCGAATTATTTCAAACTAAAGTTAGCTAACAAAATCGAAGTAAAGTGTCTTACTGGGATCATTCAAGACAGTGAAACAATCTTGCAAAAAAAACTTGGTATTTGCCCCTTCACGAAATACTCGTCAGGAAAATTAGGAAAGACAGAAGAGAAAATTAGATTGGGGGTACACTGAATTTCTCAGGTCCAACATCCAAAGAAACATCCGCAAACGGTCAGGAGAATTACTATTTTCAGCCAAGTGTGGACTTAAGTTTGGTCGTATAAAGCTATTATCCTAATTAAACTTTTCTTGGTTTTTTAAAACCATTGTGTTTATGCCAACACACGTCAGGTGCATAAAAAAATTTACATATTCGATGTTGCCATAAACAAAATTTCGATTAATACCCGCTTACAGCCTGAATACTGTGATATAAGACGTCCTTTCAGACTTAAATTTATAGTTTTCTTCGAACACAAGTGGAAAGGCAAATTACAGGATACGAATTGTTCCTTGTAAAGGAAGCACATTTAATGTCTCCCTAGGAGAGCTGAAGATGGATTAAAGAGAATGGAGGGGCTGCTGTTAGTAGCAGGTATTTATAAATACAATAATTCACATTTAGACTATCTCGCTCGTTGGATAAACACATACCTAAATATTACGAAAGCCACTAATAATAATTTTAGCTGTACGTGATTCTCGGCGATAGTGAACTCACAAATACAATATTTTTTTTAAAAATGTATTTATTCTATATTGACTTAAATGCGTAGGATACAATTTTAATTTCGTTCTAGTCCTTTCTAGACCTGCACGGAAACAAAGATATCCCACGTAGATGCAATGTTTGAAATAGCAAATACAGTAATAAAATGGTCGTTACTTAAGCTAGATAAAAGTTTTCCCAGCATAATGTTTTATGTGACTTTATATTTTTTTTTTCATCGAAACGGCAGAAAAAAATTGCGAAATGGAAGCAATATTAGTCTAAAACAAATCATACTATTTCGAATTGTATTTCAGTCGTTGTGAATTATGTATTCAGTGTTTATTTGAGAACACAATACAAGAAAAGTTCGCCACAAAAATTCGCCACAAAAACTTTTGTTACACTGTACATGTGCAACAAATCGAATTACTTCGACGTGAAAAATTTGAGAATTCAACTCAATGCGCGTAAACAGAATTTAAAGGATAAAACATTCAAGCCAGTAAAATTTCGACCACCATATTGTCGATGGTTTCTGTCATAGACAATTTCGGGCTTATGTACTTTCGGTTTTTTTTTCTTTTTTTTTTTCTTTCACTTTCACTTCCCTCTCGGTCACATTTCACTAGTTTTAACCCTTGCGTCTAGCTATGAAAGAGACCCCTTGAGACTGAAGAAGGAATGACACAAAACAACTTGATTAAAATTCACCATCTTTATTAATTCATAACTTGAATCGAACTATCAACTGACAATGCGCGGCAAAACTTGAAGTTCTCAAATTGACACTACATCCTCGGCTCACTGAAGTCTCTTCCTTTCTGACTACCAATAGTTCAGTCATTCCTTCTTTGAGCAAGCTGAAGCGAAAAAATGTGAGAAACTAGGAAATGGCAGAATCTAAACTCCTTATTTAGTAACACTATTCTACTGACGCATTATTGGCCATCACAGTGATATGGCTTTGTCCCAGATCGCTCAATCCGGACTCCAACGCACCAAGTATTGTGGCCGCCGCGCCTTCACCTGTTAAGTTTTCCTGATATCTCAGGTATTACTGGTGTTACCGGTATCACTGGAATTACTGGTATAACTGGTATAACTGGTATTTCTTTTCGATGAAAAAGTTCTGGTTTGAATTTTCGGAATTTCTAGTGACGAATGGGGCCATTTTTTTGACGAATGGGCGGTAAAACACTATTCTGGGGAATAGTTTTTCTCCGAAATTCTGTAAAAGAGGACAACCTCACGAGGTAGACTCAAATTTTCGGCAATTTCCGAACCGTACCATTCGTTTCAGTTTCTAAATTTTTCGGAATTTCTGGTTAAATCATTGGAAAGCCCCTTCTTAGACCACTAAAATTCAGGTATCTGGAAAACGTTTCATTGACTGACTAAGATATGTTGCAAAAAAGAATCGATGGTGTGATTTTGTTTAGTTTTCAATACATTGGGCTGTCTGTGTAAGATGATTAAGACCTACCGCTTCGGGGAGACCTATATTACCTGCCTGCCTGCTCAAGTTTGATCAATGAGAGTTTTCCGCTGGCCGGAGAAGTTAGTTTACAACGAGATTATTTCGAAGATGCTAATACTAGTCTCGAAATAAGAAAGATAATTGAAGAGCGCAAACTGGTTCTGTGATGGACTGACTTCCAATCTTGTTCCCGGGGCTTTTGTCTCACGTTTGTAACGGGCCAAATACCATTTTGCAGTACTTGGCCCATTCGGTTACTGGCTATTGATAATTATTACACAATACCTACATTTGCAGTCCCAGTCCAAGTTAAAAATGGCGTTGGGAAAATGAGACTTCCATGCGAGGATCAGTCAATGATTGACAGGTATATGAGGTATTCTTTCTCACTGACAGCAGCCTCAAAACGTCTGAGAAAATTTTGTTCTTAAAGCGCACAAATGGATGCGCGTTAATGGTTGATGTGCTGGCATGGACTCCAGTCGGAACGAGCGGTCTGAGTTCGATCCCTGGCCGGGATCACTGTACTGTGTTCACGAGTCACAGTGCCTCTCTCCACGCAGGTGTATAAATAGATACCGGCGAACTTGATGCTAGGGTTAACCCTGCGATGGACTGGTATCTTACTATCATGCCGTGCAGGGGGACTGAGATGTACTCCTAGTCGCGATTCATGCTACAGAAATCGGGTGTGCTTGTCGGAAATTTTGAAAAGAACTCCCAAGAGGTACCAAGATCCCGTGTTTGTGGGCGTGGCTTAAAATATTCTCACCCCTAAGAGGTACCAATTCTTAAACTTATCTCCTGTCATATTTTTTCGGCCCAATACCCTAAAAGGTACCACAAAATCTTCCGCTGTGGACCTTTTGTAGCTGAGCACCCTAAGAGGAACCAAAACCGTTTTTAACCCCTAAAAGGTACGACGAACATCCCCGGCCTTTTTATATGGGAGACGCTGAAAAATAGAGGGGAACTGGCGATTACTCTCTCCAATGATGCAGAATAACCATTGTAACATACTACTTGTCTAAATAGTTAACCGAATTTTAGATTGCTTTGTAGATAGAATCGCAATGGACAATGACTCGTAACTCGTAGTAACTTTTTCTACCTTTGCTTTAAAAGTAGCGAGGGTACAGCTGGGAACTTTTATTAGCGGTATACAATAGAGTTATTAAATTAGTTAGAAATGACTGTATATTTTTTTTTCTAGTTCTTTAGTAAATTTATTCGTAAGTTGCAAAGAAAAAGAAATCACTGATGAATCATTTAACATCGCGTGACCAAGCCAGGTAACAAGTAAATATATTTCATTAACCAGTGAAAAGAAAAGTCACGCGGTAGGAACCTTAAAAATGTGGTTAGAAATATAACTGCACGCGTCTATTTATACTTGAACGAACTACTCACATGTTTCTAACGCGATACACATCTTTAAATCTGATATTCAGTTAAATTAGTTGACACTGTATGACCTTCAGACCAGACGTTTTCGTTATTATTTGACTAACCAAGGCACTGCAATGTTTAATATTTACTCAGACATGTGATTAATGAATACCTAACTAAAGTAACACCCTCGAATATCCGGCGACAGTAAGTAAACGAAAAATATGCACGTTCAAGTCTGGGTGAAATGTAGTCCTAAATGTCGCAGTACTCCGTTGAAAAGACTTCAAGGATATAAATATCATCACATAGAGATTCTTATCACTGGTATGTCAGGCTTTGGAGATTTATGGTTACTTTATGAACCTCTTTGCGAAGGGTAATACCACTAACACGAACAAGATTGATATCAGTTGGTCAGCCACAAAATAAGACAAAAGAAATGGCTTGACTGTACGTGTAGGAGGGGTTCTGTAGAGGCGGTAAGTAAATGGAGTACTATTGAATTATGTGCATATGTCATGACTGATATAAAGAGCTAAAAGGTTACAGAAGATCATTGAAGATCAGGAGCGGTATATCTCAGTGTGATTAAAATTTCCAGACGTTGGGAGCCAGCTCTCTAACGTGGCGGTCATGAGACTCGCTTATAACTACTTGTCGTGGGTTCGAAACCAGCCAGGTGCTTTTAATGTTCACCAGCTTTTTTTCACTTTGTTAGAAAAAAAATCTAATTACAAGTGTCTGGAGCTATTCCTGTATTATTCGCTCGTCTGAAGAACTATTGTCTTCATTTTAATTTGAAGGGATTGCTTTCCTACGCGATAATCCGAGGTCATATTCCATAAAATACTCTAGTTTGATCAGCCGTTTCGTGTATTTCGAATCTAATTCAATAAACGTTTTTCCAAATCTGGCTCTTTAGGTGTATAATATGATCAATGCCTTTGTGATTTATTCGAATGAAGACGGTACACCTATTTGAAGAGACGGACGAAACGATATAAGATAGATTTCGTGCAATCGGTGCAGACAATTGACCTTTGGTAAATTTTCGTTTCCTAGCTCGTGGAAAAATCGGATAAAACATTAAGATACCCGGAGAAACAAAAAAAAAAAAAAAAAAGAAACTCTTCCTCCCACACCTCCCAAACACGCAGAAATAACGTCCCCTTATTTACGGGCTTATTTTATATGTCGTTAGAACATGCTTTAGAGACTTCTGTAGAACTTCCTTGTGTTTAATCACAGTATAATGTAACGTGTTTACGGAGTTAGACAAATCTTCCGTTTAGCGTACGCTTTTAGGACTTGAAAAAGACCCACCTGGCAGAGGGTTCGGCTCATGGGAAATAAAACCTGAGGTGTTTCTGGACAAGGTGTCCGCTCACGGGGGGTGTACGTAAGGGGTGGCCTGCGTGTAACCTTAACCACGCTACTCGTAGACTGCGTAAAGGGATACCAAAAATTTTTGAACGCAAAATTCCTTACGATCATAAGCCCCCCTCTTCACTCTGTAACACAATAAACCTCCATCGAGTCCACGGTGCATTTTTTTCAGACAATTTTTTTTTCTCTCGATTTTGTAGTCGTTATCTCATCGCCTAGGCTCGATTACCAGTCGGCGTTGTTCGGGAAATGGAACTCGCGCTAACTTAGAAAGAAAAGAAGAAATGGCTGTGGACAAACAAGTCTTGCTGCTCTCATCAGGTTCTCCTGTGATT